TATAAAAAAATTGTAAATGCAAAAATTATACCCTAAATTTTTTGTTGTTTGCCCAAAATAGTGACACCCAGAAAATATTTGCCAGCAGCTTTTCCCGTATAAGGGCCCATACCAGATTTTTGATACGGGGCCCCCTCGAGGCTAGCTACGCCACTAGAAGAGTTACTAGAAGAATGGACGTATACACTGTATAAAATACGCTAGAAATGAATTGTTTAATTATTATTCTTTTAATCTATCTTAACGGACGATTGCCACTTTAAAGTGGCGGATTGTGAATTTTGGGTATATCGCCGATATTTTCAAGAAATATTTGTATTTGATTAAAAAAAGTAGAACAACATTTCCCAATTTTCCATTTTGTTTTATTCCTTAAATCAAAATAAAGATTTAAATAAATATATAAAAATTTTATTTTAAAAAATTAAATCTTAAAAACTATCCTAAAATTAGTAAAATATATTAATAAGAAACGATTTCAAATTTATAAAATTTAATTGTATGGAAAACAAAGGTTAAATTCATTTCGAGGCAGAGCTTTGGAGAAAACAACAAAAAAATTATTTCATTTCAGCCGGCGAATTCAAACTAGCAAATATTCGCCGTTTCTTCGAATGTCAAGTTGCTACAATTGAAATTTTAAAAAGAATCTGCTTACCTATGACTTCACTTTACATATAATTGCCTTCAAACCTATTGAACGCGAAGTTGCAAAGTGCTTTTAAAATAACTACACTACTCGACAGTAACATTGCTTTCAAAAGTATTTTTTTTAATTTAGATTTTTTATTTTTGTTGTAAATTCTTTATATTTATATATACAGTTAAAATTATTTTAAAAATACCATATTTATTTATCCAACTAAAGAGCTTTCTTTCTTAAAATTGCTGACAGAAACAACAGTAACTTAATTATAATTTCATTAAACAAACCTCTGAAATATTTATTATGTATTTGCATATTGTGTTAAAGTGCATTATTTGAAGAGAGCTCGTTGACGTCTCTTGAGATTTAACTTTAACAAAAGACTAATTAAAAACAATAGGTTTTAACTGCATTTTTAAGTACTGTTGATATTATTTCAAAAGTGTAATTTATTTATTGATTATTTATTTAAACGTCTTCCTAACAACTATTTTTTATTAATATTTATTATAAAAAAACTACTAGACTAAAACACAAGATTTGACAAACAAGACAGGATTTAGTGGTTCATCTTTAAAAAGGAGCCGGACTCTTTTTAGTCTTAACATGAGGATACAAAAAATAACGAAGACAAGAATAAAGAAAATTACACGAGTTTTAAATGTAAAAGTGATTAATCTTGATTAATTGAAATAACGTATAAACTTTAATTTAGAAAACCTAAATATTAGTAAAAAAAATCGTACTAACAAAATCAGATTTAATTTAATTATTTAATTTTCAATAAAAAAGTGATATATCACTTTTATATTTTTATTGAAAAATTATTGCACTATGGTATAGAGAGGAGAAATCGAACAAAATTGATTTTTTATTACAGCGCCATCTTTTACAAATATAAAAAAATGTTTTAGACAAAATCTACCTATTTTTAATCCAATGATCCGAATCTGCAATAAAAAATTAAGTGTTCCATTGGAAGTTACCGCATGCCCTTCCTAACGGTGCAAATTACCTGCTTTGCTTTCCTTAATTTCTTACCTAATTTATTAATTAATTTTTTGAAATAAAAATAAAGAAAATCTTTTTAACTAAAATATTGGTTTTTATTGACTAGAATATATATTTTCAATCCACCATTAATTAAATTCATTAAGTTTTTGGATTATTTATACTGTACAGGTAGTCGGCTCGGACACGTAACGAGTAGGACAATTCTGGTAAGTATATAAATATCTTCTTCTGCGAGAAATCCTATTGCATGCATTTCAACAAGACTGCCCTGCTGTCTAACCTCACTTTATACGAAATAATTTAGATGTGGATTTCAGACTCTCCTAATGGACAATTTAATTGTGGTTCATTATTTGGTTAGTTGTCTATGCATAGACAACTAACCAAATAATGAACCACAATTAAATTGTCCATTAGGAGAGTCTGAAATCCACATCTAAATTATTTCGTATAAAGTGAGGTTAGACAGCAGGGCAGTCTTGTTGAAATGCATAGACAACTAACCAAATAATGAACCACAATTAAATTGTCCATTAGGAGAGTCTGAAATCCACATCTAAATTATTTCGTATAAAGTGAGGTTAGACAGCAGGGCAGTCTTGTTGAAATGCACCCCTTACATAATTTAATAATCATAATCATGTCGATATACATAATTATGTATTGATAGCAATGAAAATTTTGGACTGCAATGTTGCATAATTTATTTTCGAGCTTATGTACCTTCGACGTTATGTGATTTCGCTTAGTGGCAGTAGTACGTAACACAACCGCACCAGGGCTGGATGCTCCCGTGTACGAGTTTTGGTTCGTCCCGCGCATGACGTCACTTGATGAGTAGTTGCCGTGCGAATACACGAATAATAGTAATATTATCAAATAAAATAGAGAAATTTCTGGACATAGTGCGTTTTTATTAAACTTAATATTGAAGAAAGTGTTATAATATGGATAATAAATGCTTTCAGTCCTTGATAACATTTAGGGCTGTAGTTTAAGCGTTGGTGTTTTAAATTAAACTTATAGTCACTGTCCCGAAAATGTTTATAGGAAACAGGAGCGGTCTTAACGTAAATATTGTCTATTATTTTTGTGGCATTTAAACACTGTTTCCACAAATCAAAGTTTTTCGGGAATCGATTAAATTTAATGTTTTTATTTAAAGGGTTTCTCTTGGACTGGTTGTCCGAATTGCATCCAAATATGCCACACCGCATTTTAATAAATTCATATGGCACTATACAATCTAAAACACAAACAAAACAAGTTAACGCAACACAAAAACAATAATAAACAAACCTAACAGGTTAACCTAACGCAATAACAATAATTTGAACGCTGAAAATTAATTCGAACCTTACCGAACACAAAAACCACAAGTTAAACAAAAAGTAGAGCAAGTTAACATCCAAAAGCATCGCAAAAACAAGAATTTTAGCAGTAGATAATTAAAAAGCACGTTAAAGATTTAAAAACACTCATCAAGTGACGTCATTAAGCCCCGCCCAACATGCGCACCATCCTATCTTAAGGTGTATGTATCTTGCAACCGCACTATACACTAGCGCCAAATTAAAATTATGTTTACGATTGATAACCAACATTTTAATTCATCGAATTTTTTATCGAGAAAATTCCTCTTTCGCTTACAGATTTAAATCTTGTGTAATTTTTATTCCAAAATAAATATTCAACTTTAACTTAATTTTAAATTAATAAATGAAATGGTATTATTTAGATATAAACACCCTTTTTGAATAGAAGAAAATATTCATACAATAAAAACTGAGGCTTAAAAATATAGATCACACCAGAATGATGTAAATATATATGGAAACTTATCTGATACACCAAAAAATAAATTGGTAGATTTTAATTTAAATTTATTTTAGTAATTTTTATGAAATTTTTAATTTCGGTAATTTTTGTTTTGAGTTAATTTTTTGATGTCATTAAAAAGTAAAACGGCGTGCCATAGACTTACACTATATATTTCCAGTTTAGAGCAATGGGTCAGAATTTCTCAAACGGGCCACCTGAATTAGGTCAAAATTAGTTTTTGATTGTAGATACATTTTTTCGGTAGTATTTTACATCACTAACACAAATCCTTAAGGATTTTGTAAAAAAAAATTTTCAATTGACATATTCATGATATTAAAAGTAAAAGTTTTTAGTAATTAAAAAATAAAAAAAAATCATTATGGCTAAACTAATTATCCGATTCCAACGATTTAACTAGCGTTGGAATCTTGTTTTGACATAGATTCTTTGTTATTTTTTTCAATTGTACAATTTTCATTTAGGTCGATTTTTTTTTGTTTTTTTTATAACAAATTCGGAAATAATTGGCTTCTGCGCCAGCTATCGACTCGAAAAAAAAAACACATATACTCCAATCATTTTTCGAAATTATGCTGCTGAGAAAAAAAATGGCCCGCAGGTTCCAGACCACCGTAAGACGTCGCGTCACAAGCGCGTACAGCGTACACGGTTCGGAGCGTGAGCTGACACCGCGCGCGGCCACAAAAGGACGAATAACTTTTTGTCAACCTGCGGGCCATTTTTTTTCTCAGCAGCATAATTTCGAAAAATGATTGGAGTATACGTGTTTTTTTTCTCGAGTCGATAGCTGGCGCAGAAGGCAATTATTTCCGAATTTGATATAAAAAAAACAAAAAAAAATCGACCTAAATGAAAATAGGACAATTGAAAAAAATAACAAAGAATCTATGTCAAAACAAGATTCCAACGCTAGTTATATCGTTGGAATCGGATAATTAGTTCAGCCATAATGAATTTTTTTATTTTTTAATTATTAAAAACTTTGACTTTTAATATCATGAATATGTCAATTGAAAATTTTTTTTTTACAAAATCCTTTAGGATTTGTGTTAGTGATGTAAAATACTATCAAAAAAATGTATCTACAAACAAAAACTAATTTTGACCTAATTCAGGTGGCCCGTTTGAGAAATTCTGACCCCAATGTAATAATTATTGCAACCAAGAATTTAATAATTCAAATTCATAATTAAAAGTAATTATGTATTTTGTAATTTCTATACATTATAATTGCATACGAAAATCCATGTGATACTTCCCTCAATTTGCATATTTAACTAATTTGTAAAAGAAGCAAAGTTATTATTGCATGATAATTTTGTTAACGATGTTAAAACACAACGGGTTTAAGAGTGAGCAAGATTTTTTCTTTTTTAACCGGTGGATCTTAAAAATTGCTGGATTGTGGTTACCCGATAATAAAAACTGGTATGTTCAACTCATTTACAAGATATATGCTTTAACTGTATTCATATCGATTTACTGTTTTTTCGTTATGACCGAGTTTATAAGTTTACTTTATACATACAGCGACTTAGATAATTTTATAAAGAACTTAAGCTGTGGTTTAACCGATTTATTGGTCACTGGAAAAGTTGTATTTTGGTATGTCAACATGAATAAACTGCAAGGGATTATAAAAAGATTGGAGAAAGATCAATTTAAATACGATAGATGTGAAGATTTTAACCCGAAGGAGATTTTTTACAGCTACAAAATTTTCGGGGTTAAAACAGCAGGGACCTTTTTAATTGTTTGTTGCTTGACTTGGTGCGCTTCGTACTTACCTCCGATATTTTCGACTCTAAAAGTACTCAACACAAATGATGAATTTGAACCTCAACCGCTCCCATTTTACTCCTGGATCCCTTTTAGTTATGACACCCCTAAAATGTATTTGGTAGCTCTAATATACCAGGCTGTCGCCATGCTTTCAACGGCTCAAAATATTGTTGGGCTGGATTCGTTAATAATGAACCTCATGAACTTTATTGCCTATCATTTAACTTTGATTCAACAAGCCTTTTTAAAAATTACTCAAAGAAAGTTACGAAGACGTTTTTATTTACAAAACTTATCTCCTGAAGAACATACAATAATGGAGAAGGAGATGAAGGAGATGTGCAAACAAGTACAGAAAATATTAGGGTGAGTATCTAGCAATGCAATAGGTTAGAGTAAACGTACCTTGTTGTACGCCATTTTTTTAGAATTTGTAAGGAATTAGAAGACATCCAACGCTACCTTATATTTTCCCAAGCAATGGCAACTTTGTTTATTCTTTGTACCTGTCTATATACGGTCTTAACGGTAGAAAAATTGGAGAAAAAAATATCACAGCATTTAATTAATTTTTTTTAGAAAGCTTTGTTGAGTGAGGAATTTTTCGCAGAGGCATTTTACTTATTAGCAATGGAAATTCAGTTTTTTTCTTTTCTGTTGGTTTGGAAACGAAGTCAACTTAAAAGTATTTTATACAAGGTATCTAAAAATGAATTAAAAAATATTTTTTAGGCCGATGAATTGTCCATGTTTATTTGGAGGTCGAATTGGATTGCAATGAGTAAAAAATTCAAAGATAGTATGATTTTTACTTTGCTTATCCTGAAGAAACCGATTTGTTTCAACATTGGCAATTTTGGACCTTTGACTCTTATAACTTTTGTGAATGTAAGAAATATTTTTTATAAATTTATGTTCAAAAAAAATTGTAATATATTTTTTAGATTGTCAAGACATCCTATTCATTTTTTGCATTAATTCGGCAAATAAGTCAATGATTTGTTTAAAATCCTGTTTTCGTTGACACCAGACACCACTTAAAATGTTACTTGCGCAACAAAAATTTGTATATTTAATATAATCACTGCAAACTTTTCAACTTTTAATTTCTTGTAAACTACTTATGAAGAATTAATAAAAATTTGTGAGAATGGTAAAAAATATTTCAATTAACAATAAAATTTTCAAAAACCTGCTATTTTTTTTTTGGCAACTCTTTTTTATATAAAAAAATGCTAATTTAGCCCTTAGTCTCATCTTTATTTACGAAATATTTAATTAAATGCCGCCCACTTCTCTCTTGAAATGAATAAGTCAAAAATAACTAATTATAAGTCATATTTGAATAATTGTCATAGCGAAAAAGCAGTCAATAATAATTAGTAAAATTCTACAGAATAAAATAGTCAAATTAGTAGATTTAAATTTAAAAAAGTTCTGACACAGGCGACTTTACTAAAAACCTGGCCAAACCCCATTATGCGTTTGAAATAATTTGAGACATATATAAATTTTTAAAAACAACAATTTTAATGCTACGAATAAGGAATTACGTGAACAATCTGTTTTAAAAATTCAAATTGCTTCCTGGAGAAAGGAAAACTCACACCTTAAATAAAATGTGTCAATCTCTATGTGTAACTTTAACATTTATTGTTAAAAAAATGCTATAAAAATTGTAAAGGTTGACATAATATGTATTATTTTTACCACATTTTTTGGTATACAGGGTGACCTAAAAATTGTACAGTAAAGTATTTCATTCTCACAATACCAGAAAACTACTATAATATTTATTTTCAAATCGTTTGATAATTATAATCGGTGTTTTTGACTTGAAACATAATATTTATTTTTCCAGTTAAGAACTAAACTTAAGTTAAAATTTTAACAAAAGTGTATAACTGTAACACTCTTTTGCAACTTATAACAAATAAAGACAATAAATAAAAAACATAATATTAACTCTAACACTAACCTTTTTAAACAACTATAGATAAATCTTTTTTTTGTTCCGTCCACACCTTTCAATTATCTCTACTTTAATAACATATTTCTTGCGTTTTTGTATAGCTCAATAGAAGAAGAATATTTTTGACAATTTTGATGCCAAAATATTATATTATAAATTATCTACAATTTTTTTTATAAAAACAGTTTTGTAATGCGTGCGTTTCGCGCGCTTGAAATGTCCGTATTTCATTTTAAGAGAGTGCGTTTTGTAAAAATAAAACATTAGCAAAATTGCCAATTTTGTTATTTTAAACTTTATTGTTAATTATGAAAGATATTTTAGTAAATATGTCGTACATTGAACGCAAATATGCGTCTGTTAACTCAAATAGTCGCTTGCCAACGTGGCGCGGCGCTGAACAGCTGAGCGATCACAAAATTGTTTAAATGGTTCCTTAATCTTTAGCTTTCAGGGCTTCTTTACCTACTATTTTTTTTCAATTTTCTTAGGGAGAACAGGGCCAAATTAGGATTTTTTTAATAAACATGAATAAAAAAGTAGCAAAAAAATAATAGCAGGCTTTTTAAATTTGAATTATTAATTGATTTATTTTTTACCATTCTCACAAATTTTTATTAATTTTTATAAATATCAAGAAAATAATTTTTAAATTAAATGATACAGTTTTTTTAAATTAAACCTTGTAAATAAACAATTTAATCTTTATTTTTTAATTACAACGTTAAAAATCATGGGCTCACTTGGCCAATTTCTTCTTAACTACGTTATAAATAATAAATATAGTTTAAAGTGGGGGAATGACGACCAGCGGGTAATAACGATCATCAAAAATTCCATAGTAAGGTAATATTTATGTACATTATTTTAGTAGCATCACCTAGCCTTTAGTAGCCTAACCTAACCAAAAATTCTACATTGACTTCAGTCAATTCGTGTTTGTTTAAAGGAGGGTAAGTTCTTGTAATATTTTTAAGTATATAATTAGTTGATATTATCTCCAAACATCAAATTTTCCAATTGCTAAATATGTATATATTAAGTGCATTAATTTACAACTAAACACCGTGTAACATAAGTATGCCGTTGACAATCTAAACTATGATCTAAACTTAAAATTAAATTAAATTTTTTGACTCTTCGGGCAATTGCGATCAAACTCGTTGGGAAATGATCAGTGGTCGAGTGTATGACGAGTATATGACATTTTATGTGTGGAAAATTAAGACGAAAATAATGTTGATGAAGACCAAAATCAAAACAATAATGATTTTAACGGGAATTTGAATTATGAAAATAATGATGTGAATTATGATGCGTCACCAGAGGAGATTGGAAATGAGCAACTCGGACCTTCAAATAAGCAACCTGGGCCTTCAAGTGAGCAACATCGCCTTTTAAATGAACAACCCAGGCTTTTCAAAAGCAATACACTGCTAAAAAGCTAACAAAAATAATCTATCTTGCAAACAACATTCCGAAATATTAACTAGCACCCAATAAAAATAAAGCTCATTGAAAAAGCCAAGAAAAACCAGCTAAAATTAAAAAAAACAAGGACAGAAATCAAAAACATCTTTAGCAAAAAAAAAACAAATTTCCAAAGGGAAACCTTTGAAAGAAAATGTTAGGCTTGTTACTATATCCGACTCTTCATCAAACTCTGAAAATTACATTAACAGCAAAAATATCTTTGATGATGATAGTGATGACGACTCTAATTCAGAATCAAACCTGTGTATTATTTGTGAAGAATACGGCAAAGATGAACTTTGGCTTCGATGCACTGTTTGTGGACATTCGGCTCACAAAGAATGCACAGGTCTCGATTCTGCCAAAAACTATATATGCGACTTTTGTGTCAAAAAGGCGTCTAAACGACGCGTCGTTTAGAATTATAAAATATTTATCATAACTACATATTATAAGGATATTTAATTTAATATTTCCATTTGTTTTGTTATTATTATTCAATACCTGTTAATTTTAGTTTGTTATGAATTTTATACATTTTTTTATAGCAACATAAGTCAAATTTCTTATAGCAACACAAGTCAAATATACCTGGTTGCAATTACCCAGAACTTGGTCGTAATTACCCCGTTACGTGGGAAATGACGACCAAAAGCACTTTGCTAAGAATTTGTTTTTTTGGAAAAACTATTCGAGTTGTATTTCTGAATTGATGTATGAATAATCTTTGGACTTTAGTCTTTCTATTCCGATTTTCAAAAAGTAGAAATATTGGTTCTAAATTATTTTATGGTTAATTTTTCTTAGGTGGTCGCCATTCCCCCTCTCTACCCTATGTGTTATATAATTATTATTAGATATAAAGAAGGTTACGAAAACTGTATAAAAATGATGTTTATAAAAAAATAGGAAACTAATTATTTTTCATAATTTTTGATTTGTTTAAGTTATTTTTACAAATTTTTAAAATAACATATAACTGAAATATTTAAGGTTCTAGTACCCAAAAGGTAATATATTTTTTTTAAGTAAAAGGGTAATATTATTCTTCAATTGTATAGACTGGCAACGCTGGAACAAGCACCTGAAACTTGTTATTCTTGCAGAAAGAAGAAAATAAAATGTATTAGTATAAATATATATATGTATGTGGAGGAAGTATTAAAAACGATCATAACATACATGACATAAAATTTTAAAATACATAAAAATGATTGCAAAAAAAGTTGCAGCAAGCACAATAGCAATTAGTATCATTATACGTAATGTAAGGGAAAGGATTGTAAAATAATATTAAAAACTTATAAATTTGTGTTTTTGAATTGTTTTTTTAGTTTCCCCTTTCCTTTGAATACCTTTACCGAAAAAATCACACATTGAAAGACTGGAGATTTAGGAAGCCATTGGAATGTGCCTGAGTAAAATTTATTATTTGGATGACATGATACAAAAACAATAAAGTTGTGATGAAAATTTAAGGACTTGGTGTTTGGGTGTTAGGTTATAATTAGGTACTCATATTTGTAAAAGTTTATCAATAAAGTATTTTTATTTTCCGAACTCGTAACAATATAATTGATTATGAGTGGGGAGGTTATTAAGATAATCCCTTGCGGAAGCCATGCCGTCCCGACGCTGTGTTCATTTTATCAGATCTTTTCTGATGCATTCTCACTACGTGTCTAGAATAGCGGCGGGCGGAATGCTTATCGATTCTTTTTTTTCTAGTCGTCGTTTTCTTCGGTCTCCGCCGTCGTCTGCGGTGCCAATTGAAGTAATATCGGTCCTCACAAACACCAATTTATACATAACGTGGCACAAGTCAGATTTTTCTCTCGAGCCCTTCGTGAATACGATTTCCACCGTATACGCCTTTCACATATCAATTCTTTATTCGATGAGAAAGCAATCCCGTACCTTGCGCA